ACCAACTGCATATAAACCACTCTAAGTCTAAAATCATGGTTTTTGCAAGAAGTAGGAAAATTTATCATTGGAACCTTGATGGCAGCCCAGTGGAACAGGTCCACAGATTTCAATATCTAGGTATCCTCTTTCAATCCAATACCAAGTGGCCTGCGCAGGTTAAGTCTCTCTGTAATAAGGCTAAGATCTCCACCCATGCCCTCGTGCACTTTTTTCATACTGAGAGAGCCCATCACATCCCCTCAGCAATAAAAGTCTACAGGGCAAAGGTGATAGCTGCTATCACCTATGGCGCCCCCCTCTGGGTCCAATCCAACATCTCCTCTCTTGAGTCTGTCCACAGCCAGTTCCTAAGCTGTTTGATGGGAGTCCCTCCCTGCGTAAGTAATGCCGCAATTTGTTTGGAACTGGGCATATCCTCACTTGCTACAATCTTGTGGAAACGTGCAATTGGCTATTGGTTGTCCCTGTGGATTAGACTTCCAGGCTATTACTTAGGCCAATGCCTATGGCGGGACCCTTTTCATAGTCCCTGGGCCCATAATATCCATACAAAACTTTTGAAGATCGGGATTTCCCCCATTGAAGCTTTTATTTTAGGCCCTGATGCTGCCAAATCATTGATTTTTCAACGGCTGGACAACATTGATAGACAATTAAATCTGGCAAACGGATCGGGAACATGTTCACCGTTTTCCCTTGGTATTGTTCCCTCGCCTCACCCTTCGCCTTATCTCTCCGTGTTACACTCTATCAAACATAGGCTCGCATTTATGAAGGCACGATTTAATGTGATCCCCTCGAATGTCCTCGACAGTAGGCTCTCGAGGGGAGTAAAATCCATCTATTGTACATGTGATGGCCGATCCCCGGAATCTCTGTTCATTTGTATGTCCCCACTACCGAGACGTAAGATCAAGATTCATTTCTCCTATTTCCCAGAGATTCCCTGGTTCACCTGATCTGTTCAGCCTTTATTTCCTACTCCAGGACACAGACCCCAATATAACTCCAAAGGTGGCAATTTTTTTTGCTGCAGTCGTGGCTGAAAAAAAACGGGGGAAGAGATGGGTAACCCCTACGGCAGAGGATCACTAGTATTGACAGTACAGATTGTATCTGAGGCAATAGATGGTGTACTGTCACATGATCTATCTATATTTGTAAAATATACTCCCCTTCTATGTGTATTTTAATTTGGTCTCTGACCGCAATAAAAAGCTTACTTACTTACTTACTTTGTGTATAGGAATATTTCTACTGCAAACCACAGCAGCTAAAATGCCTCAAATTACAAGGACCAAAATACCTAGGGGAGAAAATCAAGGTAGTTTTTAGGTTACACTTAATATCATAAATCTTTGCAACATGTTACTACACAAGGTGACAGTGAACAACAGTTTATGTGCATGACCTTTTGATGCTTCCTGAAAATGCTGCCATACTGGAAAGTGTTAAGAGGAAACTGGAAAATAACTAAAGGTCACAGGCATATTAACAAGCATGATTATGCTATTGCAAGCTAAACTGTTTATGTCAAGAAGGATCTTTGAAGAATTTAATGCACAATTTTCTCCATAGATGCAGAAAATATTTTCTAATATTGAGTCACTTTACAGCCAGGAGTTATGACATAGTAGGTCACTGGTAAAATTACTGCTTGAAAGGAAGATTTAAAAAATCTTGACATGAAACATAAGGAGGGGGAGGGAGGGTCAGTTGTTTATAGATTAGATAATTACAGATAGAATTGTATAATGCTCCACAATGGGACAATAAATGTGCAGGCATATGGATTGTGATATAAAATATTTGCAATTCCCCCCATCAAGATCCCTGGTTACTCCATCAGTCTCATCAGATGTGGCAGAAGAGGCCTGCCAACAGATGCCCCTACCATGTCTGTGTCCTTTGGATGGAACATAGTTTGGTCCCAGCCCTTGACCTTTAGGAAGGGCCTGAAGATATGGTTGAGCCTGTCAACTCTGAAGCAAACCTGGATGAAGCCATCTTGTGCTGCCTCATAGTTGCCACGAAACCAGAAAGGGGGAAGGGAGGGGGAAAGTAGATGGCCAGGCTCCAGTCAAAATGCTTTCTTGTGGGAAGCAAGATCATTGAAACAGGTAGTCGTTGAAAGTGGAGAAGAATCTGCCTTCCATCTTCATTGGACAATGTGACCAGTGACACTTGGAAGAGGGGAGTTTGATTCTTTTAATTAAATGAAAACTGTGGGAATTGTCAGAGTTGGTTTTCACCTGCTGTCCTGATATGATGTATCCAATAAACATATCCTTTGAGGAATCTACCTGCCTTGAAGTTATGTTTTCAATGGGTGCATTACTTGGAACGCTGACAAAGCCACTGCGTTTGGCAGTTCAGTTGGAGGATGCCTCTTCAATAGTTATATTATTGGGATTGGATCCAGGCAGTAATAATAGCATCCTTGGATGAGGGGATCTTCCCTGCCGCCCTGAAAGAAGCGGTGGTGAGACCCCTCCTCAAGAAACCTGCCTTGGATCCAACCATATTGGATAACTTTCATCCGGTCTCCAACCTTCGCTTTGTAGTGAAGGTTGTTGAGAGCGTCGTAGCATGGCAGCTCCCATTGGCCCTAGAGGATACAGACTACCTGGATCTGTACCAATTGGGTTTCAGGCTGGGGTACAGCACGGAGACAGCATTGGTCACACTGGTGAATGATCTTTGGAGGGCTCGGGACAGGGGGTATTCCTCTCTTCTGGTCCTCTTGGATCTTTCGGCGGCGTTTGATACCATCGACCATGGTATCTTGCTGCGACGGCTTGAGGGGTTAGGAGTGGGAGGCACTGTTTTACGGTGGTTCTCCTCCTATCTCTCAGGCCGTACACAAGCGGTGTTGGCAGGGGGGCAGAGGTCGGTTATGAGGCCCCTCACCTGTGGGGTGCCCCAGAGGTCGGTCCTCTCGCCTCTCCTGTTCAACATCTATATGAAGCCGCTTGGGAAGATCATCCGTGGTTTTGGGGTGCAGTATCATCAGTACCAGCTTTTTATATCCATCCCAAACCAGCCCAGTGATGCCCTCGACGTGATGTCCTGTTGCCTGGAAGTGGTACGGACCTGGATGGAGAGGAACAGGCTTCGACTCAACCCTGTCAAGACCGAGTGACTGTGGGTACCGGCATCTTGTTCTGATCGAGATATTCCATCGTTGACCATCGGGGGTGAGGTGTTACCCCCTGTGGATAGGGCCCGCAACTTGGGTGTCCTCCTGGATTCATGGTTGTCTCTGGAAGACCATGTGACGACCGTGACCAGGAGGGCATTTGCCCAGGTTCACCTTGTGCGACAGTTGCGCCCTTACTTGGACCAAGATGCCCTACGCATCATTACTGATGCGCTGGTCACCTCCCATCTTGACTACTACAACACTCTCTACCTAGGGCTGCCCTTGAAAACCACTCGAAGGCTTCAGCTGGTGCAGAATGCGGCCGCGTGGGTTGTGATGGGAGCGTCCCGACACTCCCATGTTACACCCCTCCTGCGCGGCTTGCATTGGTTACCGGTTGCCCTTCGGGTGAGGTTCAAGGTGCTGGTTATCACCTATAAAGCCCTTCATGGCCTAGGCCCGGGATATCTGTCGGACCCCCTGCAGCCAGCAACAATCCCCAATTGCCCGGTGCGTTCCCACAGACAGGGCCTCCTCAGGGTGCCGTCGGCCAGACAGTGTTGGCTGGCGACCCCCAGGGGGAGAGCTTTCTCTGTGGGCACACCCACCCTCTGGAACCAACTTCCTTTCCAGCTCCGGATGGCCCCTGACCTTCGCTCGTTCCGCCGCAAGTTGAAGACCTGGTTGTTCCATAGCCTGGACTGATGGCGGGTTTTTAATGAATTTTAAACTGTTTTAAATTGGATTTTAATTTTATATCGTTTTAATAAGGAACTATGCATTTTATCGTTGTGAGCCGCCCTGAGTCCTCAGAGATAGGGTGGCATATAAATTGCATAAAATAAATAAATAAATAAATATACTAAACTGGATGTATTGATTGTATTTATCTTCTTATCATATTATGCTTTTGTGCATGAGGTTTTTAACAGTGGTTTTGGTATAGTTGTACATTAGCTATTTTTACTTTTTAAATTCTTCTTCCTGTTTTTTAAAATTTCTGTGAGCCACTGTAATATCCCATTTCAAAGACAGGTGCTGTATTTTCAAAAGGCAGAAGCCAGTCTAACCTAACAAGTTCTTGGATTTTTAATGCAAAAATTAATATTTGTCAGGCATATATATTTGAACATGTCTTCTTTAGTACATAATTATTCACTGGAATAAAGAATTATTTTAATAAGAGCACGCACACATATAGAAAGCAGGAATGGATAAGACTTGGTGTGAATCCCAAATCCAGAATGGATTAGAATAATTTACTCAAAGAGAAATGAAGCAAATCCAATTTGTCCACAAACCAAACAAAGAAAAAACTACCCCTCCTCCAGACAGTTCAAAGAAAAAAGAATGGAGAAATCACTGAATTTAGTGAGTATATTTTCTGACTCTTTCAGTCTTTTTTTTTTTTTAATTAAAGGACTATTATTTTAAACCCCTTCACCAGTCTTTATGATGTTTGGCTTCCTCCATTTCTTTGTGGTGTCCTAAAGTTCCTGAAATTTTTATCCAATTCTAGTGAAAAATAAAAATATCATTGGAGAGTTCAGATTGCTACAATTCAGTTTGGGATGTTGCTTCAATTTGGGCAAAGAGATCAGAGTTGTTGTTTTTTTTAAAAAAATAAATCTTACATTGATGTTTGATTGAAACATCAAACAAACTAGGGCAGCAATGAATAAAAATGACTAGTCATGGCACACTCTTTTGGGATGCATTCTGAATGTCCTACAAAACAAGAATGTTATGATTTGGTTTAAGTGTTTGTTTTCATATTGACTTACTACACAGCTCTGAGTTTGATGATATTTACATTATGTTAAATGACAAAATCACACTGTCCAACCACTTGGAATAAAGTACATACAATTAAACATGACCTTTATTCAAACAAGGATGAAAAAAATTGCAAAACTAATTAAAAGAGTAATATACACAAACAGACATTTGAAAGCCAAAGTGAACAAAGCTCAGTTCTGTGGCAAGCTTCTCTCCTTTTGTTCCCCCCAACGCAAAAGCAAATAATAAAAGTTACTGAGCTTGCAGTGAGATGCTACTTTCATAATTTGTCCTCCCTTGAGCCTAGCCCTTGATGCCTATGTTCACAAACATCCATTTTGCTTGTTGAAAAAAAATAGTAATCAATCAATTGGGCAAATGAAACACAGAATGGAAATTAAACAAACTGGATATAGTCTCTCCAGGGACTTCAATTATCCTCTAATGTGGTAGATAGTCTGGATACAAACAGTTTTCATTTATAAATTTTGATAGTAACGGTGTCGGTTTTGAAAACCTCTGTATGCATACTTTGCATCCAATTTGCTGTGAGGCACTCTGTCAAATGGCTCATGATCATTGAAGCAGGATTCAAAGACTTCATCTACTGCTTTCTCTGCCATCTCTTTAGTGATATTTCTAACAGCCAACATGGAGCGAACAGCTTTCATCTTTACACAAGTCTGAAACAGGTAATAAAAAAAGCCAAGGCACATTTAATCAACTATTAAATCATCATCATTTAATCATCAATCATCATTAAACAAACAAATAGATTTATATAATATTAGGTAATATAACTATTACCTAAATAAATAGATAATTATGTTCCATGGATATCTTCCAATGTATTGCTATCTAACTCAAAAATATTTTTAAAATATTTTCCACATTAAATGTATCACTTGGAAGATACCATAGTGTACAATTCAACAGTTAATAACAAATAATTCATGAGGATACTTTATCAGCTGTGTCATTTAAAAAAAAAAACCGTAAACATTTGTAATGCTTTTGCAGTAATTTTAGATCAATGAATAAATTCAGACTTTCATTATATCTAGGACTTCCATTACTTGAAATACACATATCTAGATTACCTGATTATATGATTTCAAGAATAATAGCAATTTTCAAAGGAATAGCGAGAAATAATTTAATATATTTATTACCTCATAAATATTGTGGGGCATCCAAGGCCTATATAAAGTAGTCCTGAACTATAGATTATTACCAAAGAGCAATGAACAATTATTTTATCCAAGTCCAAATAAACAAGTAATCTTAGTGTCTATGGAGATTGATTCTCAGTCATGCAGGTCATGGTTGTCCCAAAAGTGCTTTTTCAAGAGGCAACTGGGCTTTCTGGTTTTTCTTTGAAGATGTTTTGCTTCTCATCCAAAAAGTTTCTTCAGAGCTGAAGAAGCTGTTTGGATGAGAAACAAAACATTTTGAAAGAAAAACCAGAAAGTCCAATTGCCTCTTGAAAAAGCACCTTTGGGACAAGTAATCTTCGTCTTTCTAACCATAAAAATAATGTTCCATAATTTGGAATGTACATATCAAAACTGAGAAATATAATCCAAGATTTATTGCTTAATGCATTGTAAGCCACCCTGAGTCCCCGGAGAAGGGCGGCATATAAATCGAACTAATAAATAAATAAATAAATAAATAAATAAATAAATAAATAAATAAATAAATAAATAAGATTGGCTAAATTTTGAAAAAATTGATCTGGTCAATGAACAGTAGATTTCTCATCCTTAATCCCTCTTCTTTAAAATAAAGGATGCATGAAAAGTATTGCTCTCACTTCCATAATGTTAATTTAAATAGGAATATTTTAATAAATAAAACCCAAAATCATTGAAAGCTATCTTTTAACTGTCTTATTATATTTACAACTCCATATTATCACCATTATTCACTGCTTTATTAAATGCTTCATTAAATGCTGTCACAAAAGTGCTTCACATTTTGTCTCTTCATCCAGGCCTTGATAATCCTTTCCACTTCCTCTACCTTTGCCACTTCAAAAAAAACAATTACCGTATTTTTCAGACTATAGCACGCACCAGTGTATAAGACACACCAAGATTTCGAAGAAGTAAGTAAGAAAAAAAAAGTTTTTGCCTTCCCCAGCCCCTAGGAGCACTTTGCAAGCCTTCCAAACCCCATTTTTTGCAAAAACGGGTCCGTTTTTCACCTGTTTTATCCCATCTCTCTTATCCCATCTCTGAGGACCTGCTGGAAGACCAAAATGTGAAGTTCTTTCATTCAGAAGCTTGTTCATCACTGAGAAATGTATTCAGAGAATGTGATTTCATGGGGAAATAAATTCAGGTAACAAACAGTTTATTTTGAGGATTATTTTTCTGTTCCATCTATTTTAACATCCCTATTTCAGTTAAAATTATGGAAATGGAGGCATTATTTTTAATTCTCTCTATTTCCCCCCCCTACACACACACACACATGTACATGCATACACACACACAGCATAATGAATGAGAAAAAAACTTCTGGTCTTATGTTTTTTTCATGTCTATTGACACTACATTCCTTTTGCCAAGTCTCAAATTACAGAAGAAACTACCTCAAATGAAGACATGAACTGAAAACTTTACTTTGACAGATTATTATTAATTTACCTGCTGATGCTGCTTCAGCCCAAACCTAAATCTCATCATCTCATTTATTAGAGAACAATCTCCACTGAGATTAGATGCCCGAATCTATAAAAGATGCACAAATTGAGTAGAATATTTACAGAAAAGTTAGCATAGTATCCCATTTTAAAGCTTTTGTCCAAATGGCTGCAAAACTGTCCTTCATTTCCAATTTGTTTTGTAATTGTTGTCAAATGGTTAAGAATAAGTGAATTCTCTTGGTTGTTCATATAGCCAAGGATGCTATTAAAACATAACTGCTGAAAGACTATCACCTTGATATCATTTTAGATGAATAGAACATGACTTTACTCATTCAACTAGGGCAGTAGTTTTCAACTTCAGCAACTTGAAGATGTGTGGACTTCAATGCCCAGAATTCCCCAGTTGAGAAATACTGAGCCAGGTAGTAGCTAAATCTCAAATTACAGAAGATACTACCTCAAATAAGACATGAAACCTAGCTGAACTTAGCTGATTGCAGAAAATTAAAGAAGAGATGATTTTATTAATTTTTGATTTTATTAATTATTCATGATTTTATTAATACTTAGTTGGGATATACCAGGAAAACTCCAAGGCTGTTAGCTAGGCGAAAAGTGTTTATTAGAAGCACCCCAAAACTGTACCAAACTATTCCCATACTACTGCCAATAAACTAGATCCGTGATGGCAAACCTGTGGCACGCGTGGCACGCAGTGCCCTCTCTGTGGGCACATGACCCATCGCCCCAGTTCAGCTCCACTGCACATGTGCACGTACCTCCTGCCAGCCAGCTGGTCGTCGGGTCTCTGCCATGCATGTGCAAGGGGCCAGGCCCCCATAGGGGGGGCCATGAGCACATGTGTGCATACGCTTTGGGCACTCAGTCCAGAAAAGGTTAGTCATCACTAAACTAGATTAACATATCCATGGAGACAATAGGAGTTGATATTCTGATTCAGCAACGACTTTATTTTCTCCAACCTCTAAGTAATACTACCCAAACTAGCTTAATTAGCACCTCTTAAGATCTGATGGACATCTATCAGTCAGTAAATCTTTGATTATCTCAGTAGGTGGTAGTATTTAATCTATCCTTTCTGAGTTTTGAAGCTATACAAGTGGGCTCTGCTTAGTCCTTGAATGAGACAACACTAGTACCAGAATTATATTAGAAAGAAAAGTTTTTAAAAATCTGAGGAGACAATTGCAAATTATGACAGTATTGGATACATCCATGAAGTCACAAGGTACCAAGTTCAACCCAAAGAAGATATCAGTGGGAAAAGACAATATAACTGCCATAGATCAGGATTATTTTCCTTGTGTTTACAAACTGTAAAGCTCTTTCTAAATTGTGTGAGGCAGGATGCTTCTTCCCTGGAACCAAAAAAAAAAAAAAGGGGGGGGGGAAGAACTATTGTTCTTTATCTTAAATATAAATCAGCTGGTAAGATATTTTCGATTGTTTGCAAAACTATTTATTGTTATACTAATTTAAATAACTCGGTGGAGTTATTTAAATAACTCATAGGTTGTTTTATGTGTTTACTTTTAAAAGCTTGCTGGCAGTGAGGGTTAGAGAAATACACTGCTGTGGTCAAACAATGGCTTAAATCATTTGAAAGATGCAAAACATGCTGCAGTTTCACAAGCTATTTCTCCTGTGACATTTCTAGGCTGCTCTAGATGAAAGAGGAACGAGAGAATAGTCAAGTGAATATATTGTTATATCCGCTGAAGATAAGAACACACTACTCATTTAAAAAACTATTCACATTACCTTACTCCTCTCTTAACTCTCGCTATCCCACCCTCTTTACAAAGTCCTGGATCTGCTTTAAAAGTACATAGACACAAACACATATTCACACATTTATAGACTAAAAATTTGCTGCAAACCATCCAGAAAAATGGTGCATAACATAATAATTTTGTCTTAGTACTTCATATATTTTGATATATGTTAAAATAAATCAAATGTCGGGGTTTATTTTTGATTGATTGTTTGATTGATTCATTGATTTATTCCATTTGTACCAACAGGATGAATGAAGAAAATCTATTTACAGAAATTGCCCAGTATATTTTACTTTTAACATGTAAAAAGCAAACAAGCAAACAAACAAACCAAACAAACAAGTCCTTCACAATGTAATTGATAAATTGCTACAATAAAACTGTGAAATCACAGAACCAATATCATGACCTTATATTCCAAACACTGTGGAAAACTTCAGTATTGTGATTATAAGAATTTATCTCTTCTTGCTTATACTGAAAACAATGAATTAGGAGTGGAACTGGCTTAAACCTATAGGGTAAAAGGTTAGAAGCCTGCAACCTTCTTTCCCAGACGTTCCCTGGGTATTTAGACCTGGCCCTCCTACTTCCTGCTTTAGAGTAGCAGCTTGGTAGTTCTACTGCTATCATCTAATTTCCCGCGTGTGCTTCCCCTATTATCCTCTTCCTGAATCCCAGCACACAAGAGACATACGGTTCCACGTACTATTTTTCCGGCAATAATCAAAAGGAACCAAAAGTAAAATAACATTTGAATAACGTTACAGTCTACACATTACATTACAGAGTACTCCTCTGTAACTAATGTTCTTGTTAAATTCTCTTTCTCCAGACTAGAGGGAGGGACTGGAAAATTTCCATGGGCACATGGACAACAACCAGGTCTCATTTGTGGGTACAGACTGAGATACCTACAATTTGTGAATGTTTATGCCTATCTATAAAACAGACTGATATTCACAACAGGAATTAAGCAAAGAAACATAAAATATGATAGTAGGATCACTTAATTCTACTAATTCATTCAGAAATATGTTTCACTTAAACCATCAGGACTTACTTTCTGAATAAATAAGCATAAGACTTTACTGTAAGTGAAACTGTGTTGATATGAGGTTTATGCTATGTGTGTTTCTGATATCCTTATTAAAATATATTTATAAAATTAAGTGTTTCAACTTACCTCTGAACAGGCTAAGTGCTTTATATTGTTAAACCAATCCACATGAGCACGGCAGTGATCAAATGCATGGATAAGTTCATGAGCAACCACTCTGTTCATTTGTGATTGACTATGTATGTTGTTTTGGCAAAGTACAATCTGAAAACAAAGTTAACCCAAAATTTTAAGAATGCATTTGATTTTTAGAGCTTTCACAACATAATGTGCTTTCCTGTTCTATACACATCATTGTTCAATCATTCATTAGATGTAGTGCCAGAGAACTTGAGGGCACTGTTTATCTGGTTTCCCCCTCTCTTTCCTTTTCTGGGCATGAGGAACCTCCCAGAGACTAAATATACATATTAAAATACAAACTAAAACTAAAAATCAGCTGATATCATTACAATATAGCAATAGCACTTAGACTTAAATACCACTTTACAGTGCTTTACAGCCCTCCCTAAGCGGTTTACACCGTCAGCAATTGCCACCAACAATTTGGGTCCTCATTTTACCCACCTCAGAAAGATGGAAGGCTGAGTCAACCTTGAGCTTGGTGAGATTTGAACTGCCAAATTGCAGGCAGCCGGCAATCAGCAGAAGTAGCCTGCAATACTGCGCTCTAACCAGTGCGCCACCGTGGCTCATATACCGGGAGGAGATCACCAGGCTGAGGCTGATGTATCAACAGTCATGAGTCCCTTTGTGCCCACAAGAGAGCTAAGTCCAGCCCACCGTGAATTCCATTTTTACCGCTAAATTGCTTTGACCACTAGTGAAAAATAATTGCTTTGTCATTGAGCTCTGGGGCTATTCCTAATTTATTTGATTTCCTATTATAGTTATCTAGAAATAGCACCATCTATTTTAATATAATAAAGCTAGCTTACAAAAAATGAGGGAAAAATATATTGACCCAATAGAAAAAAAAATCAGAGGGTTTAATATGAATATTTAGAAAATATTAAGTTGAGATTGACAAAAATTCTACTATTTAGAGTTCTACTATAACTACTATTTAACACTGACTACATAACTCAACTATTTTGTTTTACTAATATAGCAGAGCATAAAAAGGTGCAAACATTAGGCAGAAAAAAGTAGTAGTTTACCTGTGATACTGAAGAATCAAATCCTCCACCAACATGTTTATCACAATTTTCACATGAAATGTGTCGGTTATTGGTAACAGCACTAAAACAATTGAAGAGTCACACATGTAACAAATATAATACAGAGCATTCATATAATAATCTTTGGACATAAATTATCTCACCAGCCAGAATTCTTCATAGCTTCAAGTAGCAGTTTAGCTTGTGGACCTAGAATAAACATTGGCACAATAACTCATTTTTAAACAAATCTGTTATTCAGAGAAAAAAAAAATGCAGAGCTCATCTTTAAATTACCACAGAAAGTGTTTACAATATCATTAAACTTATGAAGCATCATACATCCAGAAACAATTTATAGATATCATAATCAAAACACAAAGATGAACTTGATTGATGGCAAGAGATACTACTGGCAAAATCTTAAGTGTTTACTTAGATATCAAATCTAATTAATTAAAGGGAGTTTAATAATGTTCAAGTGTACACATGACTTTCACAATCAAGGACCATAGGAACTAATCTGAGTAAAATTGCAAATGAATATTCTGCTTTGGTAAAAACTTTGAAACAATATTCTTTTGATGTAGGGCAGTGGTCCCCAACCTTTTTATCGCCGCGGACCAGTCAGCCTTTGATAATTTTACCGTGGCCCGCTGAGCGCGCGCAGGGGTGGGGGGCGTTGTTCGCGACGACACATTGATTGTTTATATATCAGATTATTTTGATTAAACAACTTTTATTTTATTGTATTTAAACATGCCTTACAAAATAAAATACAATTACATAAATATAAAGTGCTTTAACATTTTAACAGTTAAACTTTAACTAAGCGCTCTAGTTACTAGATTCTAGTGAATCAATGAGAACCCTGAGCTTGTTTTTCTGCAACGAGACGGTTCCATCTGGGGGTAACAGGAGACAATGACACCCGAAGTGTCTTGCTTATGTCCAGTTTATTTCGTTGTTTTATTTTGGTTGCTGTCACTGCAGAAAACCCCGCTTCACACAGATAGGATGTTGGAAAAGGCAAAAGGGACTTAAGAGCTGTAGTGGCAATCTCAGGATATTCCGCCATGACTTTAATCCAGAACACCGGCAGAGTTGTTGTCTCAAATACAGTTTTAAGGCCGCCGTCATTTGCAATCTCCAGCAGTTGATCTTCTTCTTGTACAGACATGCTACATTCGTCTGGTTTGTTGACAAATGGGTCGCGGATCCATTCCTTACCAGTTCGTGGGTCTTTTGTGGTTGGGAAGTAGTGCTCAAACTTTTCTAAAAGCAAAGACAGGTGATCGTGCACCAACTGGGAGAATGAACGCTCAGGCTCAGTCTCTCCTAAAATCCCCGCTAATGTCTGAAACATGTCCAAAATGCCTCTGTTCACACGCCGTCCCCACAACTCCAGTTTGGCTTTAAATGCAGCTACTTTGTCAGCCAACTTGAAAACAGTTGTCATTTTCCCCTGAAGGGACAGATTGAGTTCATTGAGCAGGCTAAATATGTCACACAGGTAAGCCAGTTTTGCAAGCCATACCTTGTCACTGAAATGTGCTGCCAGTGGTGACTTCTTTTCTGAGAGAAATCTTTGCAATGGCTCTCTTAATTCAAACACCCTGGATAGTGATTTTCCTCTGGATAACCATCTTATTTCTGTGTATAAGAGAAGGCATCTGTGCTCTGTGTCCATCTCCTCACAAAGCTGCTCAAATAGACGCGAGTTAAGGGCGTTTGCTTTGATGTGGTTAATAACTTTAACCACATCATTCAATACACTGTTAAATTCTGGTGACATTTTTCGGCTTGCCAGCATTTCCCTGTGAATGATACAATGTGTAGATTCGCACTCAGGTGCAACCTCCTTAATCCGAGCGGTTAAACCAGACAGCCGTCCGGTCATGGCAGCAGCTCCGTCTGTGCATATGCCGACACAAAAGGACCATTTTAGTTGTCCTGATATATAACCATCCAGTGACTTGAACAGTTCTGCTCCTGTGGTGTTGGTTGGCAAAGATAGTGCACATAATAAATCCTCATGCACATCCTCCTGATAAAGATATCGCACATAAACAAGTAGTATTGCCTTGTTGTCGATATCTGTAGATTCATCAACCTGTAGTGCGTACCACGGTGAAGTATTAATCCTCTCCAACAATTGTGTCTCAATGTCTTCAGCTATTTCATCAATGCGCCTAGTCACGGTGCTAGCCGACAAAGGCACATTTGCTACCTTTTTTACAGCAGCCTCTCCTAAAAGTTCACGACAAATGTCTTTAGTGGAGGGCAAGATCAATTCTTCACCGATAGTGAATGGCTTTTTAGCCTTAGCAATACGGTTAGCCACCAAATATGATGCTCTCAGAGCATTCTCCTTTATTGCTGTGGTGGCCCTCAGAAATATCTTCTGTCCTTCGTGTTCCCTTTTTTTTCTTTCAAAATACTGCAGGGGTTTGTCTTTTAATCCAGGGTGCTTGGCATTCAAGTGGCGAAGCAGTTTTGAGGGTTTCATTGCCTCATTAGAGAGCCGCTCACCACAAACTATGCAGAGTGGGGTTGGCACGTGGGAATCACCTATCCCGATAAATCCATATTTCAAGTAGGACTCATTGTATTGTCTGTTAAAAGTTTTATGTTTCTTTGATGCTGAAGGCTCTTCTTCTGTCTCTTCACTGGGCCTTTTCTTTTTCCCAAGGAAACTTTCTGACGACATCTGTTTCGTACTCATCTTTGCTAATTTGTGGGTTAAATTTGAGCAAAAACAATATACACCTACACCAACTACTGTAAAAATGAGAAAGTACCAGTGAAAAGCGAGAAGAGCTAGCACCTGGGTACACGTTATGAATTATTAATGCACTTATGCACTTTATATGTTTGGACACTGGTAGAATTAATATAAATTATATGTAATTTCACTGTATAATGTTAGAGATAATTTGGGGCCTCTAGCCATGGCTCACACTTGGAGAGTACCAAAACCTGCTATAGTGTGCTGTTCGTATTTCCCCCCCCCCCATCTATCTATGTCAGTGTTTCCCAACCATTGTGCCTCCAGCTTTTTCCAAACTACAACTTCCAGCATGCCTGGAGGGCCAGAGGCTGTCTGGGTATGCTGGGAGTTGTAGTTTTGCAACAGTTGGAGGCACCCTGCTTGGGAAAAATGGAGCTATGCTTGTCCTCTCTTTCTGCCTATCTATGCATCTATCTATATCAGTGTTTCCCAACCAGGGTGCCTCCAGCTGTTGCAAAACTACAACTCCCAGCAATGTGTGTCCAATCACACTTGGTCAATAGAGAATTCAATTCAATTCAATTCAATTCAATTCATTCTATTCCTATCCTATTCTATTCTATTCATCTTCATATATATACACAGGTACTACACAAACACACACACACACACCTACTCTCCACCTCATCCCTACCCAGCTCTATAGAGTCCACAGAGCCCATTTCATACAACGCAAACCCGCAGGCATACAACCCCCCCCCCACACACAACCCGGCCCCCACAAGGGAAGGACCCAGATTCTCTCTCTCACACACACACACAGAGACGCGTGTATTGCAAGACACGTGTGCATGCCACCCCCCATGCCCAGAGACACCCCCCCTCCAGTCTCCCCCAGACAGGGAGGCGTGTTTCGAAGTGTGTGTGTGTGTGTTTGCACAAGGGTGTGACTTTTATACACACACACACACAGAGGGGGGAGGGGTTTGAGCCCCCCTCCCAGTCCTGCAGGCCCGAAACCCCCCTCCCCTCCCCCTCCCCCCATTCCCAGGTCTGGCTCGGCCCTTCGCCCCGCTGACCTGCCCGGCTTGGCTCGGCCCCAGGCGCCCTTCCTTCTCCCGAGACGTGGTGCGGGCGGCAGGCGGGGCGACGCCGCCCCTTCCTTCTCCTCCTCCTCCTGCTCCGCCCACAGGACGCTTCCGCAGCCGCACCGACCTGCCCGGATTTAGGGGGAGGGAAGCGAGCGTCGGAACAAATGGAGACCGGAACAGAAGGAGTGGGACGCTTCCCCCCCCCCACCAGCTGCGCGGCCCGGTGCCAGGTACTCCACGGCCCGGCACCGGTCCGCGGACCGGGGGTTGGGGACCACTGATGTAGGGCACCTAGGCAGATGGCCCAATACCTAGATACTACAATAAAATCACGATACCAGAGCACCCACTTTGCTGATTGTGACATCCTTTGTGCAGGAAAAGAAGGAAAGCAACATGTCCCAAAGGTGCTCTTTCAAAAGGCAACTGGATTTTCTTGTTTTTTTTTTTCCTTTGAACACGTTTCACTTCTCATCCAAGAAGCTTCTTCAGAACTGAAGTCCAGTTGCCTTTTGAAAAAGTATCTTTGGCACAATCATGGATGATTGAGAATCTCCATAGTCAAGGAAATCATTAATGTTTTTTTTTCTTTTCTTTTGCTGAATGGTATCTCAATGGTTAGACTGGAGTATAGAAATAGAGCACTTTGCTTTTCCATAACTCACTGAAACTTCACTTCTGTGTTCAGAGAAAGAAGTACTGTACTCTATATGGAAGCTGACTTGCAACAAATTAAACTGTGTCAATTTAACTTAAAACTGTCTTAAAAAGTCTTTTTCAGCTGTATTGAGATACCATGAATTAAACCGGGCACCTTTATACTCTCTATAAAAGTGCTCACTTACCAATTGCTTCACTTAGTGACCCCTCAAAGTTATCATGATGTAAAACAAATAGTTTTGCAACACAACCACCTGGACAAAAAATTGTGTTTTTTCCATACCAGTGTCATGAGTCAGCTTTATAAATAAATTTGTTACAGATAAATTCCAATACGGTGACTGAAAATGTAATATAGTTTTCAATATGCATCAGCATGATTTCTACTTGAAGAGAAGCAAATTTTATCCATTTTGACAAAAAAATGTATATTTGAGGTTTCTATTCCTTCCAAGTGTCCAGCTAGATGACAGCATCAACATCCTTGACTAATGTTGTGAAATAGGTATTTATTTTAAATGATTAAAATAAATAAAAGTTAATAATAATGTATCTAGAAAAAATAAGACCAGTAGAACATTCCAGAATTGTAATTAAATTGAAAAGGAAGAAGAAAAAAGATGAAGCCATGGAAGAGGAGTTGAACTTTGACTGAAATGAGTCTTCCCTTGCTATGGAAGAGTACACAGGAAGGAGAAATTTCCTAAATAATTAATCATTGAAAGGAG